GGAGGGAAGATGGGAGGAAGACAAGGAGGAGGAGAGGGGAGGTGGGGTGGGGAGAGGGGAGAGGGGGGGGGGGACCGTCATGGATCCTGTTTGTATATTGAAAGTTCCTGTTTATATATACTACAATAAAAGCAAAAGTAAAACTCTTGTGGTGATATACAGGATATGATCGAAGAGAGGATATCAAAGGATCCGGGCTCCAGGAAATGGGAGTGTTGTGTTGCCACAACGTGACGGAATAACTCGGTATATCAACCAGCTACATTGTAGCTGTGGCGGGACGCAAGAATCATCTCGCGTGGTCAAACTTGAAGAGACTACGTATGTCCCCGTGTTAACTACGTCGTATCTACGCCAGCACCTGCACCCTGAGCACAGGCACCCAGCACTGCGGAAATGTCCGCAGTGTCATCGCAAAATACGGACAATCTCAAGTCACCAAGGCAACTTGAGATCGTCGTCAGACAGTTGAGCTCCGAGGGGCTCACGGTCCAACCAGTCGCGAAGGGCTCACGGTCCAACCAGACGGGTGATGCCCAGTCGCGAGCTGTTTCAATCAAACGCTGAAAGCATGAGCGGCGTCAGCTGTTGCAATGTGTATGCAGCTAGCGGCGCAATGCCGGCTAGGACCTTCGGAGTGTGCACTGTGGCCACCCTCTATTTATGGTACAAACAGAGAGCCTTGCCACGAATTGCTGGAATGGTTCTTGTTCAATGTCGAAAGTAACGTCCTAGGACTCTACTAGCAACAAAGGGCATCGCTACTAGGAACAAGGACGCTACTAGGAGCTTTTTCATTGCTTGGTGGTTGAGATCTGGGGGACACATGGCACTGCTTTCCGGCTCTGCTGGAGCTTACCTGATAAGATGGAGGTCATTGCTATCAAGATGGAACAGTAGTGGTTTTGCCTTCGCGCTTTGTAGCCTGCGGCAAGGTTCTCCGTACTGTTTCGATTTCGACGGAAACATCGTTTTCTTCTCACCTTGGGGTGGATCGGTGACCCGCTCCATCCAAGAGAGTCGTCAGTGTAAACTTTGAGACAGGAAACCATGGGCGTCCCCAAAACATGCAAAAACACAAACTCACAACTTAAAAGTCTTTTCTTAGCTAAGTAGCCCTTACTCAGCCACACGTCCCCTGCCCTCAAAACTTTCCTCTCGCAAATCAATTGCCAAAAATGAATCCCATCCTCTGGAAGAGGATCCTCAATGCCACGGTTCACTGGAACTGGAACTGCTGCATACCTGTCAAACAAGCAGGGCAGCAAGCCCATTTGCAGGGCACTGGAGATGAAAGTTCGCATAGACTCAAAGCCGGTGTAACGGCTTTCATCCCCACAGCTTCACCTTACAATCCTTCTAGTGTACCGCTGGGCTTCACACCCGTTTGGGAATGGATAGGAACTATTGTGCGCCTTTCCTTCGAGCCACGCATCTTCCCACTCTCGTATGTGATGTACCCTTTATCTGAAAAAGCCAACAAACACATCGTACTTGTGGCTACTTGCTCAAGGTTTGGTAGTGATGATTGACCTGGATTCCATTCTTCAGGGAATCAGTGCTTGGTGATTAAAGAGTAAATGGTGTGGCAAAAGTTACATCAACCATGGCATCAACGATTGTGACTTTGTCTTATGTCTTCCGCTCGCACCCGAAAAGGACCATTTACTCAGCATCTTTTGAGACGCATCGCTCTCCTACTTGATTAGCTCCTACTCAATGGGCTGCGAACCCGCCAGCAAAGTGTTGGCAAAGGACCTTTGAAGAATGTTCATCGCTATTAGGTTGGAGGCCATCGCTATTAGGAGCAAAAACGCTACTAGGGGCTCCTGGCCTTACTCCTAGGAGCAAGAAGCTACTAGGGGCTCCTGGCATCGCTACTAGGTGCAAGGACGCTGCTAGGTTGGAGGCCATCACTACTAGGTTGGACCAGAAAGAACAAGGGACCAGAGCATCAGCAAGTCGGAGAGGACCAGACCAGCAGGATCAGGCAACCACACAACCCGAATAACTTTGTGTTGATATTGTTTTTGGGGGTACAGTGCTGGTAATGTTTGCTTGATACGGTATTTTTCATGCACATCCCTGTTCAAACACTGCTGCAATCTCAATCTCTAGAAACCTTTAGACCGCACTCAAAGCTGCACTCAAAGCTGCACTTGTAAAGTCGGAAGGCATGTGGCATTCTGGAACAACACATTGCCAGTTCCAGTTGTTCCTTAGAAACCTTTTACTCGATGTATTCCTGCACGTATGTGTCCGTCACCATAGTCCGTCCGTGCCTTGATCTTGTGCAAAACTTTGATAATCGTACCTAACGGCCAATGCCATTCACTCTCTCGCTGCAACTGCTATCACAACATAGGTTGGAGGCCATTGCTATCAGGTTAGAGGCCATCGCTAGTAGGCCGTCGCTCTTAGGTTGGAGGCCATCGCTTCTAGTTTCCCTCCTTCCATGCAAGTTTGGCATACCCCGGCGCACATTTCCTGCTGGAGCACAGAACCTGGAAGGG